GATAGAAATTTTGAAAACCTCATTTTCTTGGTTCCAAATATTAGTCAGTTGCGACATTGAAATCACTCCTATATAAGTCCAGAGGTGCATTTGAAATATTATCATGTCTTTTTCTGAGATATGAAACCTACCAAGGCAAGCTGATAAATAATTATTCTAAGTAATTTGTCTTTTTAACAAAATGGTTCACACACACTTTGTTTTGAAAACCATATTTATCCCATCAAAATTTTGTTGCAATTTCGTACAATTTTGAGATATTTTTCTACACTTTCTTTTTTTCATTTTTGACCGAATGGACATAATTTCACATTGGCTTCAGGTCTTGATCAAAATATTAGAAAAATATTGGAAAAAATTATGTGAGTGTAGACAAAACTGTGTGTGGCAGCATTGTTTGTTGTATTTGTCGTAAAGTAGATTGAGCGGTGTTAGAGTGACTTCAGATACTGTGAAACGTCTCTTTTCGCTAGTATGTTATTTTAGATATTTTAGCTATAAATCCATAAACTTGGTAATTCAAAATGAAGTAAAATTTCACAATGTCATTTTTGACACTTTAGCTAAATTAATATTATGTTAATTCAAGCATGGAGTCAAATTTGCTAAAATGGCATGTAGTACCACGGAACTCTGAACTGAATTATGTAAAAAAGTAAACAAAATAAAAATGAACATACCTTAAAGCATGAAATATGGAAGTGTAATCCAAGAGACTCGATAATCATGGCGGCACCCCTGCCAAGCACTTGACCACACCGTGTACACAGCACCTTGCCGCTGACTGAGCGATTACCTTGGCTTTGACCACCAGGCTTAATTGGAGCAGGGGCAGGTGGCTGCATTGTAGGTGGGGCTTGTAAAGGAAGAGGTGGGTATGGGTATGCACCAGTTTTCTGTGGTGATGGTGGTACTTTTGGTGATCCACTGCCACGGCTAGCTGTCCGATGTGACTGCAACAAAGACAAATTGATAATCTGATCACAACAATGACATTAAATTTTTTGTGTAATACTTGACTATACTGATCGCATGAATCAGTGCAACAAATATTTTCTAAGATTTCTGTGAACCAAATGGAATTATCAAGTTATGAATATGCATAGCGATGAATGCATGTATTACATAGCCATGACGGCAACAGTATGTGTTGTCAAGCTTTCCCAAAAACCTATTGATCAACTCCAACAAAAATATTTTCCTATTGGCTGAGGAAAAATGCAATTATTTGGGGGCGGGATTATACACAGACCTCAGAGAGGAGAGACATAAGTTGTTGTCACTCTAAGGTCAGTCAGTCCTTCGAATAACACATACAGTCTGCCCCATTTAAATGTCCAATGTTGTTTTATTAGCAATACAGCCGATAGATAACCAGCAGATTGTTCATTGTCAAAGTCGTCTGTTGCTGAGCTGGATGCTGTTTACAAGTGTTACAATATGTATGTGTAGAGTGTACTGTTTAATGAACTGTTCCCACAGTAATGTACACAAGACAGTTCAAAAACCGATATTATTTCATTTCTTACTAGCAGCATACATGTACAATGAATTGCATATTAAACCTCACATGACTACAGACTGACCAATCACATTACATACTCTGGATGCTACGTGTATTTTAAAGCGTACTCACATGTATCCCAGCATCCGGCAGTGGAGCTTGGTTTCTCACAGCACCTAGCGGCAGGTTTTCTGCCGAATTACTATAGCTACCCAACTCATGCATGGAATGTCTATTTCTCCGATATTTGTCGGTGTCGTCCATACTCCTCTGGCGACGATTAGTATTCAAATTTGGTCTGTCTATGTAGCCATGAGTCCGTCGGTTTGCAAGTTTTTGTTGCCTTTCAGCTTCAGTCTCTCTTTGCTGTCGTAATTTCACTGGCTGTTCAGGTTCGTATCGTCCATACGGTTTTTGTGCGGTGTCCCTCTCTGGTGGAGCATACATATATCTCTCATCGTATCTCATTTCTGTAGGTGGTGGGATGTCTCGCTGGGGTTTCTCCGTAGTACTTGTATGTCTTAGTGACGGTGCCTCGTAAGGGGTACCTCGGTCATATCCTTCTCTCTCGGCTAATCTCCTCCTTTCTGCTTCTTCTACCATCCAGTGCTGGGAAGGTGTCGCCGACTCATCTAAGGTAGAAAAGCAAATGATTATAATTTTGGTTTAGTTGGAAAAGTTTCCTAGTTAAAGGGCAACATATTTAATAGATAGATGTACAGAATTCAATACAATAATAAGCCGTCTCACCTTTGTATTTTGACATAACAGCAGGCACTGGATCATGTCTCCTATCATCTCTCCTCGGCTGCCAGGACGGCGACGGGTCCCTCCCTCGTCCAGGATGCTTACTGTAGTCAGTATCCCTCTCTGGGATGTGCTGCTGTGGGGTTTCCCGCACTGGCTGTTGGAAGTACTTCCTGAAATTTGGATCTGTTGTAACCGGTGACTGAGTATCGAAAGGACTGGCTTTTTGTAACGGGCTAACATAGCTTGCTGGTTTATCTATTTTAGCAGGTGCGAGGTGTGAATGCGTCTCCGGCTGGTAGATCTTTTTTGGTTGCGTCATTGGTTGTGACTGAAGTCTGTATTTTTGCATGTTATCTTCGGGTTCTTCGTTTTCATGCTGAATCGCAGCGAACTTAAGATAATCAGATTTTTTAGCAAGATTGTTCAGCGGCAATCCTGCTGCTTTCCTCTTCTCCTGCTCTTGCACACTTTCTTCATGTTTAGGTTGTTTGAGGGCGGATTTAGTCGGCTTTTGCTGTCGGGACCTGATCGTTGGATCATCACCTCCACCGTCATTCCTTTTAATAGCTGCAAACTCAGTGTACATGTCTTTGGATGTAAGGTTAGATGGCGGTGGACTCGTATGTAGTTTTTTTCTCTCTGCCATTAGTTGCTTGATCTCTTCCTGCTGCTTTCTTTCAAGATCGTCCCTCTGATGCATCAATCTATCATGTTCTCTACGAATCTCCTCCAACTTGCTCATTGCCAGTCGCTCTCGTTCCTGCTGCATTTGTTTCTCCTTTTCCAACTCTTCCCATTCCTTCTTCAACCGCGCCTCAGCTTCCAGCCGAATCGCTTCCACATCCAGCTCCTGCGTTCGCCTCCTTTCACGTTCAATATGTTTCTTCTTCACCTCAATTTCTTGTTTTTTACCCTCCTCGTGGTCTTTTTCAAGCTCCCATTTACTTTCTTCATGTTTCAAATTGTCCTCCTGCGTTTCAATGATTTCTTTTTCCTCCAGTCGCTGTTGATCTTGTTTGTAGAATGCCTGCAGTTCCTCTTTCCTGCGTTTGTACTCCTCTTCTCTCCTGGCAGACTCGTTCATGAAAAGTTCTCGCCTCTTTGCAGTTTCCTCCGCATTATAACCTGTAGTTCGTAGCAACTCTTGTTCATATCGCTCAAGCTGCAACGCTTCGGCTTCACGTCTCTTTAATTCCGCATCATGAATCTTCTCCAACTGTAGTTCGTACTGATAACGAAGCTGCTTACGTTCAGCTACGTATTTATCTTGCCTCAATTTATCTTGTTCTAGTTGCCATTTTTCCAACCTCGATTGTTCCTCCTTGATGTCAAACTTTTTTACTGACTGAGTGATTGGCGGTGGCTTCTCAATGCCAGCAAAGAGATCTTCCTGTTTCTGCAACTCTTCACTATTCCCATTTGTGATCTTTCCTGGACTGGATATTTTCTCCACCTGCTGCCATAGTGCTTCCACATCATCTGCTACATCCACCGTTTCCTTGGTAACTGGAGTTTCAATTATTATTTCTTCATCTAGTAAAAAGGAAAATTTAAAAAAAAAAAAAAAACAGAAATAAATTTGTTATCATATGCTAACAAATGATGTGATTGGCTTCAGATTTCTTGACTCCAGATGTGAATAAAGACGCTGCTCTTCAGTGTTATTTTGTAACTCAATGCCCCATAAAATTACTTGACGACACCCATTTTTATCATCCCACCATTTTCATCATGAATTGTATACAACATATTTTCGCATCAGGATTTACATCACAATGGAAAGAACCTAACACAGCTCAGCTCAACTTAGCAAAGAACTATTATAATATTTTCATTCATATACAAGATCTTACCATATATCATGAAGTCAGATTTAACTTATCAACAACCACAGGTCATATGACCATGGATGTTGAATGTTTATAACTGACTACCACTTTCACAAGTTATATACCGGTACTGTTACACATGATTTGACAGGTATCATTAATGGCAAAATTCCATCTGCTGAAAAATTTCTCAATTTTTCCCAATTGTGAAAGCAGTGAGAAATTCTTCAAATTTGAACCAGAGTATAGGTATTGAATACTGAATATAAACTGAACTAATTCAAAAGTTCTGAATACCTTGGTAGCATATGATAAATGTTAAAAAATGTGTTAAGACTATACTACTAAATAATGAAGAGTTAAAGTTAATGAGAAGTCACTGTGTAAGGATTACATCTCCAGTATCAAACGCTCCTTGGATGGCATATAAAATGCTTTTCAATTGGCTGAAACTCACTCACTTTTTGAGGATCAGCCAATTGCAAGAATTGTCATAGTATATCTACGATGCATTTCAACTGGCTGAAACTCATTCCCTTTTGGAGGATCAGCCAATAGCAGGAATTGTCATTTATTTATCTATGTAAAATGCTTTTCAATTGGCTGAAACTCATTTCCTTTTGGAGGATCAGCCAATAGCAGGAATTGTCATTTATTTATCTATGTAAAATGCTTTTCAATTGGCTGAAACTCATTCCCTTTTGGAGGATCAGCCAATAGCAGGAATTGTCATTTATTTATCTATGTAAAATGCTTTTCAATTGGCTGAAACTCATTCCCTTTTGGAGGATCAGCCTATAGCAGGAATTGTCATTTATTTATCTATGTAAAATGCTTTTCAATTGGCTGAAACTGATTCACTCTTGGAATCTTGGCCAATAGCAAAAAACATTTTTTATCTAGTAGGAAATCAATTTGACACTGGAGGGAGAAAGTATGAAAGGATCTGGATACAGGTCAACTCCCCAGTTACCATGGTGAACAACGATGACTTGAAATACTTAGTTTTACTGTAAACTCATTGGAGTCTGCAATTTATCATAAAATCTGAAACTTCAATAAATATAGATGATAAATAGATTAGCGCACCAAATTATTAATGTAATTTTCCCTCGACGAGTATACAGAACCACCAGGTAATTCAAGTCAATGTCTGTGTGTGTAGGAGGGAATTGACAAGTAATGAACATTATTCATGCATTGTTGTAAATTTCATTCTCAATCTTAACTCAGGCAGAGTTAGTAGAGCATACCTATCATGCAGATGATATCTGATGACGAGTTATCTTTTGATTAACATCGTGGTGAAATTGACACCGCGGCACGTGGTAATAAACAACAACAGGTTATGTGGAACTGCACTATGGTCAGACATAGAAGCAGTAAAAAAGTTATAGACACCAATGCTAACCAAACGCCACTCTGGTTAAACAAGAATAAACCAGGTCAACCAAAAGTGACAAGGGTCACCCAGGTTACGCAAAAAGCCACCCAGGTCAAATAAAAGCGAACACTGAGCATTGTGATGAGAGGATTAAAAGTTGAAATTATGTTTTGAAAATAAGTTCAAAAGAAAATCAAGAAGCATGATGTGCAACTTAGAGAGAATGAGAAGCTTCAGGAAAAGAAAAGTTTCAAAAAATAATGACGGAGCGAGCAGGCGGAAGAAAGTGCTGGGATTCTCATCATATTGCAGTTCCACATATAATGTTATTGCAGTTACCACGGAGACAAATTCTAGTTCAGCTCTACCATACTACCTGAATACCGAAATACGGGCCAACAGCTCTTGTCGGGATGGTGACGGAAGAAATTGTGGCGACGCTTCCATATTTCAAGTTTGACCAAGTCCTTACTTTTTTCACGTCGAGGGCGCAGCATAAGATTTATCAGAGGTGGTGGTCGACTGGGAATTGGCGGAGGAGGCTTGTCCTGAAAAGCAAAAGAAAAACAAAGAATAGTATAATGTGAATAAATAGATACATACATAAATTCAGCATAAGCTAACATTAGGGAAATTGAGATTTATCCATAGTATGTCACTTGGTGAAATATTTATACCTTAGTAGTATGTAACAATAACATTTAACTAAAGGGGAGGGGAGGATGCTTCAATTATCTAAAAAGTAACAAATTTGAAAACTGATCGACGAACCTCATCACTGTCGGATTTGTTCTCTTCTGCTTCAATTTGTTTGTGCATCTCGTCACGTTTCCGTTCCTCTTCTTCTTCCCTTTCCAGCTGTTCCAGTATCTCCCTCTCAATTCTCTCCTCTTCTGCAGGACTCATATCACCTCCCGAATCATCCCCCTTGAATTTAGAAAAGACAAAGATAATTTTTATATATTTTTTCAACAGGCAAAGAACCAGATACAGATCTGGAATCCTCAGTTCTTACAAGGACTGTACATGAGCAAAGGCTCCAAACCCTTCAGTGGAAATCAACTACTATAATTTATGATAAGGAGAGCCAGGGTTCTTTCATATACTGGTGTTTGTACAGTTTTTATCGTCACTGTCTGAAAAGATGTCACTCTCCAAAACCTAATGTTTGGGGGAGGGGGGTGTACTATAATATCAACTGTAGATTAAGCAGTGAATCAGCTGCAGTCGTCCTCTCCACAACACGAGGCAAACTCGCAAATCACTGTACCACAGTTACTAGTAACTGTGACTGTACCAAGCTCAGGTTTTAGTTCTGGTGAGATTAACGTCATTATTAACGTCATTAATTCATTATTAACTTTATTACATTTTAAACACCAAATTAGAAATGTAAAATTTTCTACACGGTTGTAATAAAGCTGTTATCTTATCTTATCTTATCATGGCGATTTCTATTAAAATCAGTTTGCTTTCTAGATAAATATAGGGTTTGACATTCAAAGGCAAGGTGATTTATATAATAGCAAAATTGATTATTAAGGTCAAAGACGATGAATGTATTCAAACACATCAGTAAATCCAGGCCTTGCCATGTGAAATCACCTGGGAACATAAAATGGCTTTCCTGAATAGGATAATGCTAGTGATTAGGAACACTACACTAATAAAAGTACGGTACTCAAAAATGGTAAGAATAGTGGAAGGGATAATTAGCTATTCTGCGTCTTGATTCGGGCAAGACATAGGTGAGTGGAGAACTATTCTCCTCAAAGTAAGGTCTTTATCTTTCAGTTCATGAAAATTATCATTAAAACTATGGTTCGCTTTTCTAGACTGTGGGTAAAATTAAATTAATCAACCAAATTAACAATTAAATATTAGCTGTCAATTAAGATGGATATTAGTAGAACACTAATCAGAATAAATCAGAAAGACATTAAATACTTAGTCTGGTTTTAGTCAAAAATGGTGGAAAATATTATGTTAGATAAGGCTACAACTATATTTTATGTTTAAACGTGTGTGTTGGATATGAGTAAGTCTGCAAAAACAACACAAGGTGCACAACAACGAGTACAGGGACATGTACACTCAACATGCCAGTTTTCAAATAATATCAGACACATAGGTTAATTTTTTGGGGAAAAAATGAAAGGGTTTAGCAATGAAAATTTAATTAAACTTCTACAAAAGATAATTTTTCATTCACTGCGAGATCTTGCGTATTCTGTGAAAGGCGCAGACCAAACATCTGTCACGAAAATTGAATGATTTAATTTTGAATTTCTTTTTCTTTTTAGCCCAATGTCAAAATGCCGATCTTTGAGACAGGAATATTGTGTAAGGATACACTTATCTCATCAAAATTGCCTATCATCAAAGGTGTATAGAACATTAATAAACGTGAAAATACTTTTTTTATTTTTGTGTTTGTTCAACTCCATGTGATGCGATGACGCCACTACAAGGCTTTGTTTGTCCTGCTTTTATGTTAAATTTCATGCGTCAATTCTCGCGGTGAACAGAAAATGGTCTATTGTGGTCTAGGTAATCAAATGAACAAGAAAATATAGACATTTTCAGATCATTTTTACACAGCCCTAGGAAATTAGTTGAGCCTAGATTTTAGTTACTTCATCATGTTCATGCTATGATTATTCAGTCAATCCAAATAAACATTATTTATTATTTCTGCATGTATTCAAAACATGAAATCCCAAAAAAATAGACCAGGTCAACATCAAACAAAATATGTATCAAAATCTTATGAATAAAAGACATAAAATCAATGAATATTGCAAATCTTGTTCAACTTTTTAGTTTGACAAGAGTCTTGATAATGATAACTTTTAGAAAACTGGCACAGTGAGTGTACTGAACTGTGGGTGATATATCCAGAGTTTTACCACAATGCAATGCAATCTCTAGCAAGGAAGCACTTCTTGATGAAGAAGAATTACTTAGATCGAATATAACTGCAGCCAAAGTGACAACATTTTTTAGTTGTGCAGTTATTCGTTGTTTAGAGTATATGGATCGCAAAAAGACTTCAATTTCAGATAAAAGGAATTGCATCGCTACAGGGAATTCTGTGAATTGTTCCTCTATAGAATTAATATCAAAAGTTGTCAACAATAATGTAGTCACTGTATATTAATCACAGCTACCAGGTGTGGCAATTCAAAATCCACACAAGGAAGTGACACCATTCTAAATAATCGTACCGGTAATTGCTCATCAAATAAATCAATAATATAAGATGGACACATTCATTCATGACAAAACTCTGAGAGAATGCACTACTTTGACGTAGATTTGCAGGTGCAAGTAACAAATATCCTCGTTGCCATGGCAACATAACAAGGGCCATACTCACCTCCTCTAAAAATAACAAATCCTCATCGTCACTGGCGAAATGCTTTTAGTAGAGAAACAAACAAACAAACACAGCATTCCGGTAAGTGATGATTTAATTACATGCGTTAGACAGTTAAATGACCATGACATTTTTTTTATTTTTATTACATGTACTATGATTTTTGAAAATAAACAAAAAAAATAAATAAAATAAAAACTCCAAACATGCTGATGAGTTGTAAGATTAATTAACATGATTTTTAATAGCTTACTAATCAATGTGGATTGTAACCATGAGAACACACAGATTGCCACCAAATAATAATCTCACCTTTTCTGGTGCAGGCGCTTTCACTTCAACTTCTGTTTTGATTTCTATAGGTTTTTCCGCAACATTGTTTTTTGATCGGTCTCCAGAGCGAGTGATAAACCGCTCTCTTTCCTTCTTTTTCGGAGCAGGTTCTTCTTTTTTTAGCACAACCGGCTCTGGTTCTCGCGTCCTATTCACATACGGTTGCGGTTCCCATGCTTTTGGTATATATGGTTCAGGTTCCCACGCTTTTGATACAAGCGTATTTATTTCTGGTTCCATGACTTTTTCTACTTTCTCGTGGGTAGTTCTTGTAATGGGAACGTTGTTCTCTGGCAGTCGCGTTTCCTCTACAGTTGGTATGTGTACCTTCATATTACTCGGTTTTGATTCATCTGGCCCTACAGAAGTCAAGTACGCTACCAATGAGTTGTTAATAAACAAGCCCGTCATCTGACGCATGCGCAGGAGACGACACCCCCGCTTAATTTAATAAGTAAAACACCCTCTATGGTAGACTTGGGAGAGGATACATTTAGTGCCACCACATACATATCAACCTTAATTCACCCCTGCATGATTTAATGATGTATCTTTGAAATGTTTGCATATTCGACAAAAACGCATCAGGTAATGATTTGTATTACCATGCAATCTGAATATTGGTCACAAATCTATAGAATCTGTGTATTTTAATCTGGTGTCCATTTCAATTCGATAATCACCAATACAGGGGTTGCACAAATGCATTTAATAGCAGGCAATCATCCTGTAACAACAGGCTAAAAATTTAAATAAAAAGCGCTGCAGCAAGACCGGCGTAGGTCGAGAGGGTATGCGACCAATTTGGGCTTATTGCAGGCCATATGGCTAGCGGCCGGCTCTTAGCAAAAACCTCTGCCAATTAATGACATACACTTTTGAAATGCCAAGATCACTGTTCATTTTCATAAATGTTTTTTTTTTTAGTTGTTGAACTGTGAAAGCAGTATGGTGAAAAGCGATGTAGCAAATTAATTTCATCCAAAAATTAATGCGCCCTCTGTTGACAATAAGCTTCTATGTGATGTATATGGTTGAAAATAATGCCATTTAGCGTTGCTAATGTTTTGATCTTTTGCCTGCACATGAAATTAGCCGCCACGTACTACAATGTAAAACTTTAAACTGCGATGTACATCACCAACAAAATGATTCTAATCTCCTTTAGCCCCACCACCATACTAACCTCTATTGCCATAGCGACGAATTTTAAGTTGCAAGTTGCCTGTGACTACAGCTTGACTGACAGCATTGAGAGCGGCATCATGAGTAAAACTGACAGCATTTTGATTGTTGATGAAGATTATTTCGTCTCCTGCACACAACTCGCATATATCAGCAGAGCCCCCTAGAAGGCAAATACATCCATCGTGACCTTGGATGACCTAGACACTATAAATTCCCAGAATGCTTTGCAGGAAATTGTTGCAGGTATTGACCTTTGACCTTTGAACAACATTAACCTTTCATCACTTTTTTTAAACCTTCACAAATTTTACGCTTATTGTTTCAACAATTTTGGCAAACATTTGTAGGCAATAGGAATTTATGTTCATTTATGCTCCAAAATTTTTAAGAATTTACAAGAAAATTCATAAAAACAAGCAACGTGTGGGAATAATTATGGTGCTCAAAATCAGTGTACTTTCATGGATTCAGATAATTTGACTGCATACATGTACTCAAATATTTCAAAAAAATTTCCAAAAACTTAAAAAAAAATGTTTACTTATGAAACTAACCGAATAATAAATGATGCAAATGGAAGCAGGAATGTTAAAATTTGAGATGACATAATTAAAGCAAGCAAAAAACAAATTTAGCAAAATTATAGAATAATTTTGTACTACAAACCTAATGCTACTTTCTCAACATAAAGTGGTTTATTCTTGTCGATACCGCCACTCATTACAAAACCAAATCCTTTTTCGTTGTGTGGTCTTTGATTAATACATATAGTCATTTCATTAAACGCTGACTGTAAACAAACAGAAAATAAATGTTTATAAAAACCTGAGATTATGTCGAACGCACAGCAATTTGATTTGATAGATGTCATCAATACGTATTCTTACCTTTGACCTGTTATCGGGCTTACTGTTATGTGCTTGGTTTCCACCATCATTGAACACGGCAACTCTATCCAGAATTCCGGAACTCAGTCTCTTTTTCTCAGCTTGTTTCAGAGATGAAAGATCAACAACATCCTTACTTTTCGGTCTCCTAGCAACAGGGGGTGGCTCCTTCTTGGGTTTGTCTCTCCTCTCGTAACTCTCAGCAGGGGGAACATCGCCCCTATATTCTTCTCGCGGCCTATGCCTTATATGGTCATCGTTATATCGGTTTCTAGAAGGGGGTGAACTGGGCTCATCTCGCCTGTACATTGGCTTGGCATCTATATATCGGTTTTCAACGGGCTGTTGTCTCTCATTTGATATTGGTTGTTCGTGTCTGCCACTCGGCTGTGAATATTCATCTATGTTCCTGTTTTCTAATGGCTGTGACCTAGTGCTTCTGGGCTGCTCTTGCTGTCTCCCAAACCTTTCATTGTCAAAGCGTGTGCGAGGTTCCGGTCTCCTCTGAGCAGGTATTTCAGTGGCCTTGATAATGGCTGGTCTACCAGGCCGATCTGGTGGAGTTCTTTCTCGAACAGTTTCATCCGCTGTCATAATAACGGGCTTTTCCAGAGGAATTGAAGCAGTCTTGTGATATGGCTTTGTCTGTGACAAGAGGAAAGAAAAATAATAATAACTATCAAGGAAGATAATAGAGAGTTACTAAAAATATACATAATCTGTTTTATGCATGACTCCTAAGGTCACACATCCTAGCACTTTTGAAGGTGTTTGTTTGTTTAACTAAAGCAGCAATGATTGCCAATAATTCAATTTAAGTCAATTTTCAGAAAATAATTGCACACCAGGATACGTGACCTTTACGAGGCGTCGAGCATATCGGTATTTTTGAAATAATATTTTCGCATAATCCAAACAGAAGATTCAACTTCAGTTATAACTCTATGTTCTACAATTTCTGAGATCTCTAATCAAGTTCCCCCAGTAAAACTGTACAAGGTGTTCAAATTGGTTTTTCTCAATATACAAAACAACTTAACATTGATCTAAAACATGAGGTAATAAGAAAGCATACCATAAGATAATTAGTCGTAAAGTGCCACAATCGTTACGTCATATCATGTGGGTCCCATGCGATTTACAACATGTTTAAAATACACTGCTTGTTTACATAAAATTTGAACGAACTCTTGCGTCGATTGTGGCACTTTTTCAAAAGAAATACGACTGATGATAGATACCGAGCAATATACTATGATTGCCATTTATTAGTCTTTGACATGCGTACGTACGGCAACCAATGGCATTCAGTATTAGTGTGCAAGTAGTTATTAAAGTAAAAACAATTAATCAGAAGACGCTGTGGACAAAATTTTAAATAAAGTTAGTACATTAGAATACATCAGGCAGATTGTTTGCGATTACGCAAAACCGCATCGCTGAAGAAAAAGTATATAACGTAAGCATGCATATAAAGCGAAATCCTACAGATGGTTAGTACTGTACCACCCCTATCCTTACAATGGTTTGGTCCAGCCAGGTCACAATGATGGACCCAACCATTTTGTCACAAGGGGTTGTCCGGGTGAATTTGTGAGAGCACAAATGTAGACTTGCATGCACTGCAATGCAATGTGGGAATTGTAGCATACAACATGATAAAGAAGAGAGTTCATTATGAAGCATCTTAAGCATTTTATATTTAGTTTTTATACTACTCCTTAAATAGACTTGAAGGATTTTTTAATTTTCAATGGAAAACAAAAGATGTGCAAACACCAAACAATCATTCCTTATAACTTTTTACCATAGACACAATCGATGCGTAACCACAGCATTTTTCACTGACAAGACATCTATCTTAATATTTGAATGTGATTTTGTCAAATATTAGGCATTTTTGCAAACATGAATACCATAAAATTTTTGTTTGACAAAAAAAAAGATGTGAAATTATTCCAATTGTTCGAGGTATGAACAGATTTGAGCAATGAAAGCTATACACTAAATCTGGTATTTTTTCATTTAATAGAAATGTTTCGTTAATAGAATCATGTTTTGATGTCCAAAACAATGATTTGTATGTTAAATTTCATGATTTAAATTAAGAATTAAATTGATTAAAAATTATTTATTGATCGCATCACTGTTCTCAAAGATTTGTCAGTAAATCACAATAAGTCATGTGACTAACACCTGCTGATATTATTGGTCAATGAAATCGGATTCACAGCATGCAAATAGTTATAATATTGCATGCAAATTTAATCATATCATCCAATCAGATGCCATCATGCACAATATATGCAGTGTATGCAGTGACCCAGGAATACATCACCATGCTTACTCTTCGTGGCATGACTGGAGGCGGTTGCCGGGCAGCCTGAGTATACAAGGCTGCCTCATCGTGAGGGCTGTTCCATCTGTGGACAGCAGGTTGTGGAGGATAGGGCTGCCAAGGTCTGGATGAGTATCCAGAAGTTGGATTTCTGTTGTCATAGTACTGGTACATGTACCTTCTGTAGGCCTGTAACACAAATAATTACTCAGAAAAACAAAACACAGATTGAAGAATATCCTAGCCGGAAATGCAGTGAGTGCCAGAGAGGCTCAGATCCACAAATGAGCTATCAAGTAAAAGTGCAATCTCTACACACATGCAAAAAGCACATATTATTATAGATTCTTTTCATAATATATGTATGAAGAAGATGGATAGTTTAAAAAAACAAACATATTTTTACATTTTGCTTGAAGCATATTTTTTCTACATCATTAACAATTGGAGATGTTAGACACTTAAAAAGAAACAGTTTTTACCCGAGGCAGAGGACAGAGTAGCATGAGAATTATATTAACCCCTTGAACGCCAAGGCCAACTTTTATCACTTTTGACAAAATAAGCCTGCATTGTTTTTCCATATTTGTTTGAAAGATTTTTATCAAGGTCTGTAGCCAATTGGAAATCATGCCCATTTGGTCCAGAATTGAAAAAAAATTCATAGAAATATGACAAACGTGTGAAGACAGCGTGCGATTTGATTCACATACGATTGACGAACTATTCACGTATAAACATATACCTATAATTCAAGCAAATGTTTAGTATTTTTTAAGAGAATCAAGATTATAAATACTTTCATAGTGCACATCACGGTTTCTTGGCATAGCAGCGAATGCATGGAAGAAGATCAAATGGCAATGAATATAATTAAAAACATTTTCAATATCCTTGTTTGAAATATTTTATTTGTTTGTTTTTTAGTACTGGGTATATATTTATATATACCCGGTAGTATATATTTTTTACATTTACATTCGAATTTCATGTAAATAAACAATGTATTTTACACGCGTTGTATACGTTGCTATGAGTCCCATATCAAACAGGACGCGGCGCGGCGCGACGACTGCCGCCTTTTAAACATATTTATGCATTTCTATAGCTGCTCTATACTTGTTTGCTCCCACGTCACGCTGACTTCCGATGTGTGTGAGACTGTGGGACTATTTATAACCAAGATTTTCTCCAAAATATAAACATTTGTGTGTATTATAGGTATTTTAATGGGAGTATCAATCCTACGTGAATCAAGCTGTACGTGTATGCTAAAATGTGCAAATTGTGTAAATTTTAGTTGGAAAAGATATGGCGTTCAAAAAATTTAATGTCTGTTTCTGAAAGTTAAAAAGCAGATAACAATTACAATACATAGCTAGAAAGAGACTGAAAGAAAGAAATTCAGTGTTAGTTATAATATGAACAGCAGCATTAAACTGAAGATATATTAAGAATCTGCAATAAAAGTTGTAGCATTCAGTAAGTAAAAATCAATCTTCTTTCTGCCAAAACCCAGAAAAAAAACATTGTAAAGTTTTCTCTAACATTTTTCGTCACATCTTTTACAGCATGATTAATATTTCTACAATGCATTCTGGGATGCAATGTCTAAACGAACAAGGTAACAAATTTTGTACGACCAAGATCTGAGGAAAATACCCACAATGCAATGTTTTATCCCACACAACTCAACGATACATTCAGCATTATTGCTCAATCATATACTTTCTCAGAGATTACAGTAATAGACTAACCTCTTCTCGTTCCTCTTCGGATCTCTGGCTACCATGCACGCTGCCATCATCTTCAAGAGTAACTGATGTCAATATCTCATCTAAGAGTGCTCTATCTTCACTCACTTCTTTCACTGGTTTGTCAAGTATGCTAATGAAATCATCATCTTTTTTTCTTAGTCTGAAACCAAATACCCGTCAGATAAATATTATAACTACACAATCAGAGAGTAAAATACCAACAGTGTTAACTCAAATCTTTTGGAAAAGTTCTCTCAAATGGTAGAAGCCCAAAAAACATTACAAGCGCAAAGACAAATTTCTGGTAATGTCCTGGGTTTTAACCTTTACACCACCAGTTCTCTATTTTCATCACAAATTCACAAAATAATCCCATTTATAGCCTGCATTTTTTTTTGAGTAAAAACTGAGAGTTGACTAAAATTCTGTTGGCACTAAAATTCGGGTTCATATCCAGAAATATTTAAGAATATGAGAAAAAAGTCAAGCAAAATTTTGGTGAGAAAGTCTGGTGATTAAAAGTTTAATCTGTAAATGATCACAAAAAAAAATTACGAATATACAAACAACTTTGTGTAAAGAACCATTGCTGGCAAACCAAAGTATGTTCTTACTTCTTACTTACACATTTCTTTTTAAGTTTAAAAATGCTTACCGTTCTTCTACTATCTGATGGAAAGGTTTAATGCTACTCCTACGGTTTGAATCATTGTTATTGCCTTCTTCATATTGTTCTCGTTCAGCCTTGCGTTCTCGTTCTGTGTGCGTGGCACTGATACGTCTTTGCTTCCAGGTGGAGAGACTCTAAAAATCCAGGAAAACAAAGTGAGCAGCTCAATTTGCATAGAACAAACCCAGGTGTTAGAAGCCAAGTCATTTAATAACGTAAACATTTCAAAATTTAGATGACATTAAAATAATTAGTTTTTAAACCCCAAATTACGTTGAAATATTGACTGGTTGATTAAAAATCCATGATCACCAAATATGTTAGGATACATACTAGGCAATATTCTCGTCTTAAGACAACCACTTGTGATAACTCACGGTCAAAAGAAAAACATTTTTATGAGTACTGTAAAATACTTTATTTTAGTTGGAATTATTTTTCGCTGAAAAGACTTTTTGGGTGTTTTGTATGGAATTTATTTTCACTGATTGGCAAGTTGAATGTAAAATATAGGATTTTATTTTCACTGAACCATTCCTTCAGCGAAAATAGCAAAAATTAATTCCAAGCGAAAATTAAGTATTTTACAGTAGTAGTCAGACGGAAAAAATTAGAAAAGACAATTTATCACAGGACACTAAAATTCGTTTCAGCTGTTACTACGGTGTCATGAGAGCTGTTAAAAAACAGAACAGTTTTGTTCAATTCTGCGGCAATGGTATGATGTTTAAATTTCTAGAAACAACTTGCTGGATTTTTATCAGACACAAATGCAAAAAGAAAACTCACCGACATCCATGCGCTTTGATCTTCGTTATTTTTCTTTTTCTGCTCTTCTAATAACTCTTTACTTGGTCTTGCAACTTTCACATCTTCTCCCGACGAAAACCTAAAGTGCTGCGGAACTTCAGGAGCGATAAACTTTGTCGCTTGTTCTTTACTTAATCCACCTGGCATACTCGGCCGCCTGTAGCCGAAATTATCGTTTCGTTTTTGAGTTTCCGATGGCACAAATTCATCAGGATTTTTCCGTTCATGACTGCTGATATCATTTCCGTAACCGTTCTCCCGACTGTAATTGTAATCGCTGTAGTTTCCCGAATATCGATTACGGTAAGCATCCATCTTGGGTTTACTTACGTTATTGTTCAAAGAGTCTGTGGTGTCTAAAATGTCCTCAAGAGAATGAGATTTTTTTAACTTAACCGATGTTTCTGTTTTTGACCATGATTCCTTGAAACAATAATAGGATGAAGAAGACATTAGTAACAATCTTTTTTGACGATTATGAAATACACAAGTTTGTAAAACTTAGTATCTGTATATTTGTACGAGTCTTAAAAAATTTATTGTATATCAAGCAAGACAAGAATTACCCGGTATAGAAATTTAGCGTTATTTTCATTGGAACAAATTTCAAAATCAGATAAAAATCTGAAAAAAGGAATCTGTGTAAAAGAATTAAATATTCCCTGAGATTAATTTCACTATTTTCGCTAACAAGTGAAATCCACTAAAATTAAACCTATATGAATATGTAATATACTCGTTGTTTTACTGGCAAACTCATGAATTTGCATAAACAATTAAAATCTTGAAGTTAAATGCCACAGTACAATTGGCATGCATTGACATATTTACATTTTGTAACATATATTATATTTAAGTAGGCAAAAACCTACACAGAAATTAAATAGTTGAATGGAAAATGTTCTATGAATGCGTTCAAAATGACCTCAATATTTCATAGATCAGCGCCCTCTGGTGGTCAATGAATAAGTTATAATCTTTATTTATTTGTTGAGGAAACAATTGCTACATAATGTACTGTAAATTAATTAATTATTCACTGGTTTTTAATTTTCCTATTTTTGCTGATAAGTAAAATCCGCTAAATTAAATCTATGTGAAAAAGTAAAATAACAATAAAACTCATTGTTTCCTTGTCAAATCCGTGAAATTAAAACACAGTGAATATATATATGCTCACATTAAAATAGTGATATTAAATGTCAATGAAAATAAATTGTTTTACAGTATATCTACTGATGGATTTCACAAACCAGTACAAAACTACTGCGCATTGCGTGAAACACCCCTGCATTTCAAGTACCGTAATCACACTTTTCACAAACTATAATCAGTCAATACCAAACGAAAACATTACAGGAAGATAATTTACATTTTACTCCGTTGCACAAAATTTTAATATTTATGATTTAATAATAACAGTTTTTGCATTTTTAATTTTAGAAACAAACAAACAAAAAATCTATTCTATTCGTTTATGGAGAGTCCAATTGTGGTGTGATACCTGAAGTGAGATCTTCTCATTTGAAATGCAAATACACGCACACTGGCACTGTCAACACTTCAACCTCTGGGTAAAGAGCAAAGTCAGCAAAGAAATGTTACTGTTGTGTACTGTACCTTGCTGAGATTTGAGGGCCACAACAGCTGTTCAAATGCCCTCAAGTTTAGCTGCGGTCCTCTGTACTTGGGCAAACTATGAGCTGCTTTACCTAACCAGTACAGAGTACTACATACCTGGAAAACGTATGAAATGAATGTTATATAACATGAAAAAATCAGCTGCAAAAAATGATTACTACACTTTGTGACTATATAGATACCGGTAAGTTGTACAGAGAATGTGGTAGGTGATACTCCAAACAGCATTGCATATATCTATGAGTATGCTGTATGCATATAGTTGGAATATGGAATCTGGGTCAACCAAAAATTTATTTTCCAGTAGTCTAAGGACTTTTTTTTCATACCCATGGTGTTCATTTAATACTACAAAGGTTATTTGGGGCGCAGCAGCACATGGGTTAAAATAAGAATATATACTGACAAGAAACGCAGCTTATGTCTCTGTAAGCATAGCGGTACACAGTACAAGGTAAAATTACAGGGTATTAGGTGAAGGTGATAGGTACAAGGTAAGGGAGATAGGGTATAAGGTAAAGATGATATATCAAGATTAGGGTAAGGTGTGGGAGGTAACTTTGTCTTCATTTTCACTTAAGGTAGAGATGCAGTCTACCTGACAGGTATTTTAATTAGTTAATTAAGAAACCAAGATGACCTTCCTTGTCCACAAAACTATATATTTTCGGAAAGCTTATTGTATGAATTTAAAAAATTTTTTAGTATTTTTTTTATGGACACTATAGTTTGAAATATGCACAAAAATGTGCTTTTTTGGTCAAAAGTAATTTAAAAAAATAGCTTCTAAACTATGCTTCTGTTTCCTGTCAAAATTGGTTTACGGGTACATCTAATTACTATGAAGAAATTGCCGTCTTGAAAACTGTCTACCGTCTTGAAAACTGTCTACCGGTTGTCAAATTTGCAGGGCAGAAGCTCAAATTTCACTACTTCAAGTTTATGCATAAATTAACACCCAGGCTAGTTGTCTGTACGATTGTTGTAACACTGTTCAACCAAAAACAATGCCCCCACGGCGTTTTGAAGATAAACACATTGTCAATCATTAGTGAAAATTTCAAAACAATAGGTCAAAGCATCTAAGAGCAATTTTTTTTTTTAAGTTCTGGGATGGACACTAAAAAGAAGCTGAGATAATTGCTAATTTACATAACAATTCACTCAGTAAGAAGTTTGCTAATGCTCATAATTAAAATGGCTGTAACAGTTCCAAATTTGAATGTATTATCATTATGTAAAAAGTTAAATATTGTGCATAATATGGAGATCCCGTCATTACTTTTTTTCACCGTGTTTCTTTTTTAATATTTATGTACAGCCTTGCTCAATCTTGCTAAGCATTCAAAAAAGAGAATGTTTGCACCTGTTATCTATATTTTAAAATCGTCTTTTGAGTATGTTCAACTATTAAAAATTCTACAAAATTTTAACAGTCTATAGCCAAGACTATTTGAATAATAAAAAGATAAAAAAAAAATTTCACTCCAAAGTGTCCACAAACCTGCATCTCTACCTTAATAAAGGAATATTTATATGAAAAATAGTTAATGTAGTATATGTCACACATGGTTAAACGAGCAGACACAAATACCCCACAATTCCATTACAAAGAGATGAAATGTAAGACAGCAATAAAAGGACATTCAGATGACGGCTACTTGTATCACTCTAGAGTCAATAACTAGAGATGTACTTTAAAAACTCCTCAAATGCTTTTAACACAGACACAATTTCTTAACACAGTCTAACAGCAGATGATGACAAGGAAGCGGGCAAATTGACACTTTAGTACTTTTCCTACATGGAATTGCAATAATGTAAAGACACAATTAAGTGTTCCCCACTTCTAGGACAACTGCACAGTAAATAATAGCTCAGTGCCAACCTGATTAACACAGTTTATAGTTTATTAAACTACATTTGTAAATCAAATATACTCTAGTAAGCCCCAAAACAGGGACAATATTAAAATCGTTTTATCTATCAATTTTTGGACTGAATTTATCAGATGGTATCTGATGCAGGGATTGATCCCCAATGTTTTGTATAGTTCAAAAGTTTATTCCGTATTTTATCTCACCCACAGCTGTATTATTAAGATTACCCCCCCCCCCCCCGCCATGAGATATGCTGCAAATCAGTAGCACATAAACAGAGTGGAAATGTTGTAACAATAATGGCATAAATTTGATGAAATCAAGTAATTGTTGTTTTAATAACAATGATGGTGAACAAATCACTAACATAATCTCACCACCATTTACTGCCACATCTACAACTTGAGAAGAAAACGGAACAGCTGACATATGGCGTTATTTTAGCCACTTGACCCAGATTTCATTGAACTGCCTCTCTACAGAACTCTGACTTGCACTACATGACAACTTGCATTTCAAATAACATCACTCTTTAATATACGAGATGCCACAACGAATATCTTTCATTTAAATTACACATATTTTGCATATTTCCCTCAAATTAAGACATCTCAGAGGTCAAAATTGCTTGTTGCCTGTATTGTTGAAACTTGAGACCATTTTGTGTCAGTATATACACAATCACAGCACAAAGAAATCAGTCCATGTGGCCAGCATTGAATACAAAAAATCCAACAAAAAATGTTAGGAATTCCAGTCAAACACAGTAGAAGGGCTTACTGAGTAAATCAGGCAGAACAGCCATCGCAGTGTTTCGGTGATACGCACAAACAGAATGAAAGCTATACCGAAGATTCAAGAAAAGGTTGGTGGTCTGGATTGGTGCAAGTAACTGGTCCATGGCTTCGTATATAAATGTAGGGTATGTCAATGTTCATGAAGAATTCATTCAGTTGAGGAGGGGGAGGGGGTGACTACATAATATTTGGTGGTCAGAATTTATCCTGTTTAAGTTCTGATGTGGAGTAGTACCTTAATTTTCATTGACTTGCAAAATTCGCAGACGTTTTTCTTTTGCAAACTAAAGTGTTCTAATGTACGTTACTTTTAGAAATTAGTTTTGAATTTAACCATTTGCAAGTAACCAACATGAAATATATGATAGTAACTGATAACATAGGTTACTTACATTCTTAAGTCTTCTTTCTGCTTCCTTTTTAGTTTCTTTTGGGATTCTGTAAAACAAAATTAATTGGAATAAGTCAAAAAAATCCATCACATGATGTCAGATTTCAAAGAAAATACAATAAAAATAATAATGTAGAACGAGTGAATAAAAATCACAAATGATGCAATTTTGACATAAATTATTATTATTTATTTTTGTTATGCAATAAAACAATGATTGTAAACAAACATTAAATCAAGAAAGATGAGCCCCCTCTAAAAATGGGTTTAGTTTCTTGTTCCTGGGAAAA